CTCCTCCCTCCCCTCACCTGTGTCACCTCCCTCCCCTGTGTCACCTCCCTCCCCTGTGTTAGTGAGGAGTGGGTGTTCCCCCTCTCACTTCTTTCCCTTTGACGTGAAAATAATCATACACAACGTCATACACACCCCCTCACCCCCTTGGTCCCTCACCCTTCACCCCCCTCACCCCTTTCACCCCCCTCACCCCTTCATCCCCTCACCCCTTCACCCCTCACCCCTCACCCCTCACCGCTTCACCCCCTCACCCCACCCTCTCACCCCCACCCCCACCCCCTCTCAACCCTCCACCCCCACCCCTCACCCCTTCACCCCCTCACCCCTCTCCCCTCACCCCCGTGTGTCATAAACACTGTCAGCCACCAGACGACCTTCATTACAACTTTCCCCAGTGTGCCAAACCTCACGTCACGTCACCTCACCGCCGTTGTGGTAGACGTGGCATCACAGCGTCATCTTAAGAGGAGTGTCAATAATTTGTTGACGTATGCATGTATGTATGTATGTATGTATGTATGTATGTATGTATGTATGTATGTATAATAATAATAATAATTAACGGATTATTGAAAGAGCATGGCAGCCAGAAGGTTGAAAATGTACAGTTACATATTTGGGGAATGGGTCACTTGATTGACAACTAATATACAAGTAACATAAGTGATACAAATATGATGTGTGTGTGTGTGTGTGTGTGTGTGTGTGTGTGTGTGTGTGTGTGTGCGCGCGCGCGTTATGTACGTCACGTGTGGAGGAGCCATTGTTGTCATGATCCAGGATATTACATAATAACGTTTCCTCTTAACATTAAACTTGCCTTTCACTTATCGGCTGCCGGAGTCTGAGTCTTGCTATTATTGTCTCAGGTAACCGAGCCGAGCCGAGCCTAACCCAACCTAACCTAGCCGAGCCGAGCCGAACCTAACCTAACCTAACCTAACCTAACCTAGCCGAGCCTACAAGACAGGTGAAAGCTTCTTGTTAATTAGGTTTAGTAGTACAATAGTCAATTAATTTAATAATGTTGAGTTAATTACATCATTAGCATAATTAGATGTGTTTATTGTACTTAACAGGTGTGTCACAAATCTCACCTGTACTGCACTGTACCTGACACCTGATTAAAAGATTTCTATTTTTTTTCTAATTAATCTGTAAATGACACCGTGTACGCCTCCTATTAGACGGTACAGACAGACATGACACCGTCTACACCTCCTATTAGACGGTACAGACAGACATGACACCGTCTACACCTCCTATTAGACGGTACAGGCAGACATGACACCGTGGATTGGTTAGGTTAGGTTTGGTTAAGTTAGGTTAGGAGGAGCAGTGTTGACTCAGCCACCCTCACCACTCCTTCCTCCTCCAGTCACCCACGTCCACCCACCCACCCTGCCACGCCCACCCACGCCCACCCACGCCTTCTTCCTGCTCCATTACTTATCCAATTTCTCACCTATGCACTTACCCTTGTACTTCCCTCGGCACTTACCCATGCACTTACCACTTACCTGTAATAATTAGTGAGGGACATATACCACACGTTAGCGACAGGTGTTAAGTGACAGACAGGTGATGATGGCAGGTGGTGCTACTTAATTAAAGGAACACTTAACATCTATGATTTCCCCCCCAAGTAATACACCTGTAGCTTAAGATGTTACTTACTGCATGACGTTGTTACCTGAGACCCACGGAGCATTTATAACTATCTTAAGACTATATTTAGCATTGTTACCTGTTACTTATATGACGCCAGGAAACATTCATTATCATGAGTGTTGTTCCCGGCATTCTTACTCTCCACACACCGATCACACGTTCTCAGGAAACATTCATTTGGTACAACACAAAGAGACTGGCTTCGTGTAACACATTTCGAATACAAAGACGATAAGAACCTTCTCCTGAATGGTATATCACCACTCAGCAGCAGAAACAATAGGAGTTAACATTCTAATCATACACCACCTCTGCCCTGACTGTAGTGCGTGTTGAGCATCGGAGGAAATAGGTGACAATGATATAGTTCTCTAGACAAAGATATATTATTCTTTTTTCTGACAGTGATCACTGTAGTATAGAAACTCTTAGGATTACACGACTTAAATCCTCACTCACCTTTCCGCTCTCACCCTCCCCTTTCTCCTCTCCCCTCTCTCCCTTTCCCTCCTCCATTCCCCCTCCTCCATTCCCCTTCACCTTCCTCCTCCATTCTTCTCCGCCCCTCCTCCCTCCTCCTGCGTCAGGTACCAAGTGTACTCACCTGCCTGAGTGACCCCAGGTAGGACTCACCAGGTAACCGGTGTAGGTGTGTGTGTGTGCTGTGTGTGTGTGTGTGTGTGTACAGTGGGGTGTTGTTTAGTAGATGAATGGTGATGATGATGATGATGGACGATGATGTAGAGGTCATCATCTTAACCTGGGAGTAGAGGGGGGATAAGGGAGGTGGGCAAGGAGGAGGAGGGAGGGGGAGAGGGGGCCTGTGGTGGAGGTGTGGAGAAGAAGGAAGACACGGAGAACAGTAGGAGGAGGAGGAGGAAGAAGAGAGAAGAGTTGTAGAGAGAAGGCACGGGAGAAGAAAGGTAGGTGTGGTGTAGTGAGGAGGAGACGCAGTGAGAAGAAGAAGAATGAAGTCCCCCACACAATAGGAGGAGGAGGAGGAGGAAGACGTAAGAGAAGGATGGATGAGTAATGAGAAGGAAGAGAGAGACACCTAAGGAAGAGGAGGAAGAGGAGGAGGAGGAGGAGGAAGGAGGTGTGAAGAAGGAGGAAGGAAGGAAGGAAGACGCTGAGGACCAGACGCACCACAACACTGGCCGCTCCATAACAGCAAAACATAAAGGACTTTGTTGTGGCGTCGACACCTGGCAGACACCGTGCGCCACAACCACTATAGTGCCTTAGTTAGTCTCCTCACCTCTTAGTATTGTCAATGTGTACACCTCGTGTCTCTTTGCTACACACTCACATACATACATACATTCACACACACATGCTACAAAACGTACAGAGATTGATCATATATATATATATATATATATATATGTGTGTGTGTGTGTGTGTGTGTGTGTGTGTGTGATAGATGGAGGGTAATATTTCAATATTTTATTTACTACTAAAAAAATATCCAGGTACATATTCAGTATATATAAATAAATAAGTTTACTAATTATCAATGAAACAGTTATAAATATTGGAATTTGTTAACTTTAATGTGTTAGTATGGGATAATGTTTTGAGAGCAGGCACAATGTTGGAAACTATTACCACGAACAGGACCACGAACTCATTCATTTCTCTTAAATTCAAACTACGTGTAATCTAACTTATCTTGACCTAACTATCATATGGTTGATTGGGTTAGGATTAGATTATGTTTGGTTAGGTTAGGATTAGATTAGGTTTGGTTGACTCGTGGAAAAATAAACGATCTGGCAGCTTTGTTTGCTTACAAGCTTGTCCCCTGCAGCTTGTGTTCGTCTTGTTCCCTATATGATTCTTATCTCTATATTACCCAGGTTCGACTCCCCGTTGTGAGGCTTAATAGAGAAGAACAGTTTAATAGCTACATAAACTACTCTCAGGTAACAAGGACTGGCTGAGTCACGCGTATGGATTCTTCTCACGGAAAATGAGTCTCAGATATCCGGGGGTAACTTGGCTAAAGTGATCTTCTCGAGTCACCGTTATTACATCAAGTTTAACCTTTGTAGATGATTACACGCGGTAGGAGTTTTTGTCTTGTGTTAAAGAGCGGCTCTACAAAAAAAAAATACGTGTGGAGATATTGCTTGAAACAAATGAGCATCGTCGGTAAGGGATCGAAAGGAAGTTGGGTTCCGCTGTAGAGGGTCAGATGCCTCGCAGATTGTCAACAGGATCTGATTCTTTTGTCTTCTTGGGAGTCACTGAGACGGATGCTCTACTTCACCCCTCCCTCCCCAGCTCTGTACCTCCTTGTATAACTAGATATCATTAATAACATCATCGGGGTATAATACTAAGCTACAAAAACCTCGTAACATTATAGTGAGGTGTTAAGCTACGATGGTCTAGATTCCAGTCAGATGTTGTGGCCTTGAAACTGTGGGTGATGTAAATATGGCTTTGTGAGGGCGAGCCTGCGTGCAAGATGGCGTGGGTGAGCTGGACCTGGCGGGCTTCCCTGGGGCGGGTGACCTCGTCCTAGCCTACCGCGGGGGACCATAGCAGGACCACGGGAAGACCACGGGAGGACCACGGGAGGACCACGGGAGGACCACGGGAGGACCACGGGAAGACCACGGGAGGACCACGGGAGGACCACGGGAGGACCACGGGAAGACCACAGAGGACTAAGAGGGAGGAGAAACAGAGTGATAGTTACCAAAGAGGAGAAGAGGAGAACCAGGAAGAAGAGGTGACCCAGAGAAGGAAGAGAGAGATTAAAGAGAGGAAGTTACAAAATAAGAGAAGGGAAGAGAGATTAAGGGAAGGAGAAGGGAATGTTGTGGTAATGAAGAGGAGATGGTGATGAAGAGAGAGAGAGAGAGTAGAGAGAGAGAGAGAGAGAGAGAGAGAGAGAGAGGGAGAGAGAAAGAGAGATATGAGAAGAGGTTAAAGAGAGGCACACACACACACACACACACACACACACACACACACACACACACACACACACACACACAGATAGACAGACAGATAGACAGACACACTATAGGTGCAGCTTTCTTAATAACTCCAATCAGCAGTGAGTGTGGGTGGGGATGTGGCGTGAGGGTGGGTGGGTGTGCGTGTACGGGCGCGCTCCGGTTTAGCCTATAATAATTTTAGAAGAACGTAATTAAAACTAAAACATTTATTTATGCAGTTAATAATAATTTTTGATGATCATTAAAGAAAATTGCATATTCATTTTACGAATTTATTTGTTCTAAGATGTTTTAATTATATTTTACCTATAATGAGAGAGAATTAATCTAATTACTTTATTTATCTCCTTACAGGTACGTATCATTACTGAGGAGAAGAGGGAACTAAGTGACAGGAGACAGAGAACGGTGAGAGAGAGAGAGAGAGAGAGAGAGAGAGAGAGAGAGAGTAATAAAAACAAGAATTAAAGAAAAAATATATATTTTTTTTAGATGAGCATTGAGCGCCGACTCTGTAGTGTAGGAACTGCCTATTTATCTATGGTCGGGATTTTATCGGAAATACGAAAAGACAAATACGAAGAATGAAAAAAATAAATAAAGGAAGAATTTACGATGAAAGAAATATACAATTGAGAGAAACAAAATGCCACTTTTAGGTGTGTGTGTGTGTGTGTGTGTGTGTGTGTGTGTGTGTGTGTGTGTGTGTGTGTGTGTGTGTGTGTGTGAGGAGGTTATCCAGGTCCTCAGTGAGTGTTTACCTCAGGCAGGACCCCGTGACGGAGGAAACTTCCCCCACAGGACACAAACACACCACCACCACCACCTCACCACCACTACTCCCACCATTAACCATCACCACCACTATCTGCTCTCTACGCTCCAGGCCAAGGGTTCAAAGCGTGGGGCTTAAATAATCCTAGGGTCCTTTAATAGCCCTTATAGAGACTACAAAGTTTTCAGTCTAGGACCATCTCTTATAATCTACAAACCCTTCCCCTTCCTTCCTACCACCTCCTTCCCCTCCTCTTCCCCTTCCTTCCTTCCACCTCCCCCTTCCCCTCTCTTCCCCTTCCCTTCCTTCCACCTCCTCAGATGACCTGGGATAGTTCATAATAAACCCTTCTTCTCCCCACCTATTCCTCCCCATCCTTTTTCTCCCCATCTTTTCCCCCCCTCCCCCACCTTTCCTCCCAGATAAAAGAAAAATCTCCGTTTGAATCCAGGTTAAGAGATCAAGGTAATCCATGCGTATTTGGGTGTGGGCGTGACCACCAAAGCCAGGCTTCACATACCTTGATTTGAGCACAGTCTCTCTCTCTCTCTCTCTCCTCTCTCTCTCTCTCTCTCTCTCTCTCTCTCTCTCTCTCTCTCTCTCTCCTCTCTCCGTTTATTATCATTGTTACTATTTCCTTCCTCGTTTATCATCATCATTATTATTGTTATTACTATTTCCTCGTTGTAAAGTTAGAGCGTTAATGATATAAGTGGTTTATTAAGTTTGTTTTAATAAGGTGTTTATGTTAGGTGGTTTTTATTGTTTATTTACTGTAAGAAACACCAAAGACGAAATGGGATTAGGAGGGAGGAAGCGATAGGGAGGAGGGGAGAAGAGGAAGGTGATAAAAGAGGGAGGAGAAACTGGAGAGGGGAGAAGTGAAAGAGAAGAGGGAGGGAAGGATAAAGGTATAACATTTCCTCCCTTCCTGCCTTTACTTTCAGCCCCCTCCCTCCCTCCCTCTCCCTCCCTCCTCCTCCCTCCTCCTCCCTCCCTCCCTTTGTAAGGTAGTGTAAAAGTAATTCCTGAGTCTGACAGTTGAATAATATCAAGAGTGTTGATGAAACGGGACCGGATCGACCAACACACACACACACACACACACACACACACCACCACCTCGAGTACATCATTATACGCTAGTGTTGATTCATGATAAATGACTATGAAACTGTACTTGTGTTTCATTATTATCTACGTCTGTTTCATTATTATCTACGTCTGTTTCATTATTATCTACGTCTGTTTCACTTCGACATACAGGCTTGGTGTCCTTCGTATCACAATTCAATTAAAGAAAACGAAGAAAAAACTGGATTTATCTACAGTATATTGTTACCATTACCTGTTCATAAGTTCATAATATCAAATCTCTTTATGGAATACGTTCTGGAATGCTTGATACCTTGATGGCTCTTGTTAGTATCTGTTGCTTGGTATTGTATGTACGGGATCCTACTGGTCCTTGGATGATGTCCTTACGTATCCTTAACGGTGTTTTACAAGGTCTCGAAATGAAAGAAGGATTTTATTTTTTATTCTACTCAATAATAAAGATTAATGCAGAGTGTTATAGAGAAGTGTCCCTGTCTCATTGTCTGTCTGCTTCCCTGTCTGCTTCCCTGCCTGTCTGCTTCCCTTCCTGCCTGCTTCCCTCCCTGCCTGCTTCCCTCCCTGCCTGCTCCCTGAGACATTGTGAGTTGGAGGGAGGCAGGGAGCAGACGGGCTGGGTCTCCTGGGACACCCTTATATATGGATCGATATACCTGGGTAATATCTCTTTTATAACTCTTACCTAATGCCCCGAGACTCACCTGGAGATCACCTGTGTTCGATGGCATTAGGTGTGTGTTGAGTGTGAAGGTGAGGAGGGTGTGTTGAGGGGATAATCTGGTGGGAGGGTAAACAGGGGAGGGGGGAGGAGTCAAAGAGAGGGAGAAAATGGAGAGATGGGAGTGGGAGGAGAGACAAGAAGAAGAGAGGGAAGAAGAAGCAGAGGTTAAAGTAGAAATAGAAGAGGAAGGGAGAGAACAGAAGGGTACAGAGGACGTGTCAACAAGTTAATACATATATGGTTACTGTCAGGCTCCGTTACCGCGGCGCACGTCGGGGAAGCTTTGGTTAGGTTAAGGCTGAGCTGCAGGATGGCACAGGGGAGGGATGAGGGGATGGACTGGGGGTGAACTTAGCCTGGATAGACGATGAGATTTTGGACTGGATGGGGCTAAGGTACAAGGCTGGAGAGAGAGAGAGAGAGAGAGAGAGAGAGAGAGAGAGTTATTGGAGTGGGTGGTGGTCGAGAAGGATGTACTGGGGTGGGTGTTGCTGGGAAAGAGATATAACGTAGTAGGCGTTGCTGAGGAGGAGGGAAGTGAGGCACTGGGGGTGGGTGATGCTGTAACAGGGGGTCTTGGGCGGGACAGGCTGGGAGTAGATGAAAATGGACCTGGTGGAGTGGAGCGTGGGAGGAGGACAACCTGGTGGAGTGGAGCGTGGGAGGAGGACAACCTGGTGGAGTGGAGCGTGAAGGGAGGACAACCTGGTGGGTGGGCGTGGGAGGAGGACAACCTGGTGGAGTGGAGCGTGGGAGGAGGAGACAGCCTGGTGGAGTGGAGCACGTGGGAGGGAGGACAACCTGGTGGAGTGGAGCGTGGGGGAGACAACCTGGTGGAGTGGAGCGTGGGAGGAGGACAACCTGGTGGAGAGGATCGTGGGAGGAGGACAACCTGGTGGAGTGGAGCGTGGGAGGGGGCCTGGTGGAGTGGAGCGTGGGGGAGGACAACCTGGTAGAGTGGAGCGTGAGGGAGGACAACCTGGTGGAGTGGGCGTGGGGGGAGGACAACCTGGTGGAGTGGGCAGTGGAGGAGGGACAACCTGGTGGAGTGGAGCGTGGGAGGAGGACAACCTGGTGGAGTGGAGCGTGGGAGGAGGACAACCTGGTGGAGTGGAACGTGGGAGGACAGCCTGGTGGAGTGGAGCGTGGGAGGAGGACAACCTGGTGGAGTGGAGCGTGAGAGGAGGACAACCTTCGCCAGTATCAGAGGAAACCTAGAGTTGACGAGGCAGGGAGGGAGACGAGTTAGCCCACCACAACAAGGGATAGGCGTTGGCTAGGTTAGGCTGCAGTGCGTCTGTCTGGCTACTTATGGGAGGCTACGTCTGGCTGCTTATGAATGGCTACTTCTGGATACTTATGTGTCTAGCTACTTGTGAGTCTGGCTACTTAAATTACAATTGTTTTAATATTTATGATGATCTGGTCTATAGCGAAACATAGTTAGACAGATATATTATTAAAGAGAGAGAGAGAGAGAGAGACTCAAGGTCTCTCTCACCAGAATAACAAGCCTTAACCACAACCCCCGTAACACTCATCTGTCAGCACTCACTGTCAACACTCACCTGTCAACACTCACCTGTCAACCTTTCTGGCCCGTAATACACTTTGTCTCATAACACCAAATGATGTGAATCCATACCAAGTGATTCGAATCCACCAAGTCGAACCCGAGCTCCAAGTGATTCTCTGTGGTATACCATCTTTATGTAGAAGGGATATAGGGTTAGGTTAGGTTAGGTTAGGTTCGGTTCTTAACTTCACTACGAGGCTGCTGATGTAGTCACTTAACCTAACCTAACCCAACCCAACCCAACCTAACCTAACCTAACCTAACCCAACCTAACATAACCTCACCTAACCTAACCTAACCTTAGATAAGAAAAAGAACTTTGTAATTTGTTAAGAAAAACAGTGCAGGCGTACAATGCGTTATAGTCAGCACGTAGTTGAGTGTTGTACGTGATTGGTCAAGGTAGGAGGTGTACAGTACGGTGGTGGTGGTGGTGGTGGTGATCCTACACTCAGGGTCACCCGCCAGCCGTCCGTCGTGCCTGGCGGGTTTTTTGGATTTTTTGTCCTTTTTTTTTATTATATACTTGGCTAGAACACGCCCAGCTAGACTTACTGACCCGCACAATGAATTTCCCTACTAATCCACCTGGCCCTCCCACTCCCCTGGCCTTCCCACTCCCTCCGGCCCTCCCACCTCCCTCCCACTGGCCCTCTCCTCCCACCCCCCTGGCCTCCCACCCTGGCCCTCCTAAGCCCTCCACCTGGCCCCCTGGCCCTCTCACTCCCCTGGCCCTCTCACTCCCCATATAATTAACGCTTCATCATCCTTGTTTATTTTACAATTTTTTCCGGATTATTTTGAGATTATATTTATCTTCTAATTATATGACCAGAACAACACCCCAGACAGACAGACAGACAGACAGACAGACACAGACAGACAGACAGACAGACACAGACAGACAGACAGACAACTAGCTAGACAGATAGACAGTACAACACAAGCAGAAATGATCAGGAAATAATGACATGGAAGCAACGGGTTAATAAAAAAAAAAAAGTTTCTTGGTAAATAATGAACTGAAGGCGGAAATAATCTTAAGAAACGAAGGAGAAATAATAGAAATTGTGATAGATTACACAAAAGATAATAAAGGTAATGGAACAAAGAATAAGAGGAACAATAAAATAAATACAAAAAATTGATTTGGAGAATGTTGGGGTTATAATGGAACAAGTGGATAGATGATAGGATAGGCAGGGTAGGTTAGATGATAG